CAAAAAAAAAAGTTTCAGGAAAAAAAAATCTATTCAATGACTGCAGTAAGATATATAGCCTCAACTAGGTGCTACTTTATAGGATGCGTAAAGTTAGACTTGAGTTCATGGAAATGTATATATCACCTGTGTTTGCTATGAAAATATTTAGATTAATTAAGGTCTTTAGTAAGTCAATAAAATGTGGAGGGAAAACAGTATAGAAAGCAAACATAGATACCAGAGACAGTGTGGGAGGAGAGTGGGAGATGGCTGAGGGTAAGAGATAGGGAATCAAGAATGGGGGGGGGTGAAGCAAAACATACAGAAAACAAGAAATGGAAGATTATTTGCTGACAATAACATGTTTGTTGATGTGCTTGATTGAGACAATATACAGTATACTCTGGATGGAAAATCTCATTTTGTATGCTGTAATGATGTACAGTGAATGCAAATAAATAAATTGAAAAAAAATAAAAAATAAAACAACACACACACACACACACACACACACAAAAGGAACCTTCTCCAACTGGAGTGTTGCTTGGAAGGAGTTCAAATCAGTGTGGATGGCAGGATACTTGGCTATATCATGTTTTAGGTGTATAAAGTTGTGGGTTAGGGATTCGATAGCAAATGGCTGAAGGGGTTGGGGAATTCAAAGATTCCAGGGTACCTAGTAAGTGGAAGCCTATGCTATAGAGATGACCAGAGGGATGGAACTAGTAGAGGCTTAATTAAATTAGTCAATATCCGCTTCAGCAATTCGATTTCTTGGCTTCCCTACCAATTCCAACATGTCCACCTGCTCTATTGCTCTTGCTCTGACCCTCTTGCCCCTCCAGACCTGGCATAAGGTCTGATTCCTACAATTAATCCCATAACCCAAGGCACTCATAGCATCTCTGACTCCCTAATGACGCTGGGGCCTTGCCGGGTCCTGCATCCCTGCTGCTAAGATGGGGAGTTGGCTCTGCCATGAAGACCTACTTCCTCCCCGCGCTCCCAGCACTTTGTCTGCAGGTTTGCTGGTGTAACCTGAACACCCTGTGGGCATCTTTTTATTTGTAAGTGAGAATGCTTTCTCAGGACACTGCTGTGAACTTGATTTTTATTCCTCTCTCATTCTCTCACCTCTGGATGCCCTCAATTCTATCAGCTCGAGCTGCCCCCAGAGCACCAGGGAGGCAGGACAGGGAATGGTTACGGCCATGAGTCCTGGAGTCACCCAGGGTTTGAGTCCTATCTGTGTCACTTGATAACTGTGACTCTGAATGACTTACTTAACTTCTCCAAGCTGCAGCCTCTTCAGCTGGATTTAAAAAAAGGGGGAGTGGGGTGGGATATGACTTCGAAGGTTTGAAGTGAGGATTGCATGTGATAGTCCACTTCAAGTACTGGTGTGTGCTTAGTAGTAAATGTTGGCTGAAGAGAATTGGCCCAGTGTCTTAAAGTGTCATGCTTAGAATCCAGGTCCCCTGCATACCTCAGTCATGCAGATACCACCTCTCAGGTCATTTGAGCAGTCTCAAATGCCTCCCTTCCTCATAAGAGATTTAGCTCAGGTATTGTAAGTTTTCCAGGATATAGAATACCATGCTTCTGTACAGAGAACAAGACAGAAATAAGCAAGAGCAAACGTGCATTGGGAATGGCTCCAACCAAGACTCTCTCTACCTGCCCATCACAGACAGGGCTCCAGGAAGCTGGACTTCTCTCCCAGGAAACCATATCCTGACATGACCACTTTGGGAGGAAATAAAAGCAGTCACTAAACAGGAAACTCCAAATTTGGCTAACAGAAAAATCATGTAGGAAAATGAGCAAGAGTTGGGTAAATGATGCCAGTCAGAATAATAGCAGATACCCTGTACGTGTACTACCCACGGAATTCTTTCAACAGCTTTCTGAAGTGGGTACTCTCACTATCCTCACTTTGTTCTCCTGGTTATCCAGGTACGCAGCACCTTCCAAGCAGAGATAACCCATCCCCTGGCTCTATAGCAGTGAGGTTTGGAGAGAAGACATTT